TAGGTGCACAGCAATGTGAATATACGTACCACTGTGAATTTCACATTTAAAATGGTTGAGGTGGTAACTTTTATATATTGTACACTTCACCACAATGTAAAGGCAGATAACTGTTTGCAGAGGGAGAGTTTTCTTTTTCTTCTCCCTCCTGGGTTGCTATCAGATCTGCATGGAGTGTTTCTAGGCGCCAGAAACCACCTAAATTCCCACAGTTTTTTTCCCCCATGGTATGTTACAAGTCTGCCTTTGAAGACACGCTAATTTCAACATACACTTTATTCCTAAACTTTAGTTAAAAGTATTTATGCTAGGCTTTTACCTCACTTAATTAAAAACAAAAAGGCCATGTTTGATGTGTGTTACGCTGTGTTTGAGGCCATCTTTCCTAGCCAGATGCATCCTCTAAATAAGACCAAGCTGTATTACTTCAATGTGGGTTCTTGATGGAAACAGAAAAGCAGCCATAGGCAAGTCCTTTCAACCAAGTGAAAGCTGACCCCTCATAAAGTGTTAAATGAAGACGGTGGCTATAGAGCAGGCATGATGATCCCCATTCTACAGATGAGGACACTGAGGCCCAGAAAGGAAAAGCGACTTGCCCCAAATTATGTCCACAGGAAAGCCAAGGCTGGCTCCCTATGAGGGCTCTCTCTCTCTGCCTTTTGGACCCTTGCTGCTTTGGAGCCAGTGGGTGGAGGTGGAGGGAGTGCACGCTGGCTAAGAGCCAGGATGCCTCCTCCTTCCCTGAGCCCTTGCTCCCCAGGCAACCTAAGGGCTGGCTCTTAGTTCCGTGGGGAAAAAATAGGTCAAACTGTAAGGGAACTGGTGGGCCTACAGGCACCAGCTCTGTGTGTCCTGAACACCCCACCCCAAGGTAAGAGCCAAGAAGGCCTCAGAAATCCCAGGCACCCCATCCCCAGGCCTGTTCCAGGCACTGGTCAGGGCTCCAGGGTTTAGCTCATAGGTGAGTCCTTATTATGGGATTTAACAATAAATAAAATGGATACATATTATGCATTTAGCACAATCGTGAAATCAGTGAAATCAGGCTGGGTAGTGGCCCCTGGAATGGGGGGGAGGGCCTGGGTGGCAATGGTGGCAGTTCCCGAGGGCCTTCCCGCTGTCTCTGGCTCTCGGCAGGAGGAGGCCACCCAGGTCTACCGGCCAGCCCAGCCTCTGCAAGGGGCCCAGCCGGCACTCTGGCAGTGAACACAGAGGGAACGAGCAATCAGGGCAACCCCGATAGCCATCTGCTTCCCACCGGGGCTCAGGCCAAGAGACCGGTAGCGCTGGACAAACCCTGGTCACTCATTCAGTGAGCCCTCTCATTAACCAACCATCACCTGGTGGTTAGCCTTCTTATTAGCCAAGAGCATGGGGCGGGGGAGGCAGACGCATCTCTGGAAACTGGGTACGGTCTCCCACTTTCCTCCACCAGGCACCGTCCCACGTCCCACCCTACAGAGTCAGCACAAACGTCCCCTCTTCCAGGAGGCCTTCCCAGGTGTCCCCCACCCCTGGCAGGTTAGATGCTCTTCCTGGAGGTTCGTGGTTCTGTGCCCACCCCCCCTCACAGCACCTATCTCTATGAGTTACAGGTGCTCTTTGTCTTACGGGAGAGCTCAGTGGGGGCAGGGAGCAATCAGGCAAGATCAGAGTAACATGGTAACTGTGGCCATAGTCCACTTCCCCTGCATGAGGTCCTGGCCTAGGCTCTGCGCGTTGCATGCATTTCCTCTCCTGCTGTCCCCCCTCCCTGGAGGGCACCCGCGGTACTCCATTTTACCGGAGCCGACTCGGCTTCTCACCCATCCTCGCTGTGCACTAAGTCTGTGTCCGTGGGCAGTTTACTTACCCTTCTGAGCCTGTCTGGCCCAGCACCCATGCTTGTGACCACCGCTCCACGGGGCCTCCTGCGCTGGCTTCCTGCTTTATCTCCACACACGCACAATGAGTTTTGAGGTCCTCTGGTGAATGACTCCCCCATGCTTTGCCCATCCTCTCCTTCCCCCTCAGGTTTGTGGGTGCTGCCACCTGGTGGCCACAGGCCACCGGGACATCAGTAGAGTGGCCTCCGCACAGTTTGGCCGGCTGCTGGAAGCCCGTGCCTCTCTCCCGAGCACACTGCCAGCCAGGCGGCAGGAGCACGTTTGCAGAAGGCAGGACAGCTGGACTCCAGAGAATACCACCTTCGAGGCCCAGCAGCTTCACGATCAGGCCCAAGAGTGCCATGGAATGGGTCCCAGTCCTGGTTCTGCCGCTTCTCAGATACGAGACCCTGGGGCTAGTTGACTAATTGCTGTGGGCCTCAGCTGCCTCATCTGTCAAATACGTAACCTTGTCCTCCTGTGTTAGGGCCACATGCCCCAGGCCATAACTTGGAGAGTCTTCCTGGAGCACGCCCTTTTAATTTCATTATCATTGAAAATGGAATTTATGTTAAATGCGTGCAAATTAGGTATTGCACTCCAAAATTATGTTCCTTTAAAGCAAAACCTGGGTCGGGGCACCTGGGTGGCTCAGTCGGTCAAGCGTCCGACTTCGACTCAGGTCACGATCTCACAGTCTGTGAGTTCGAGCCCCGCGTCGGGCTCTGTGCTGGCAGCTCGGAGCCTGGAGCCTGTTTCGGATTCTGTGTCTCCCTCTCTCTGACCCTCCCCCGTTCATGCTCTGTCTCTCTCGGTCTCAAAAATAAATGAACATCAAAAAAAGAAATTTTAAAGCAAAACCTGGCCTTCTGAGAATTTGGGGTTTGTGCAGTCTGTTGGTCTGCTCCTCCAGCGTCTCTCACAAGGTGCATCTTCGCGGTCTTCTGCTGTTAAGGCTTCTACCACGAGCAGCCCTCACGTACCAGCTTTGAACCATGTCTTTGACACTTGGCGCCTATCTCATTTAGCCCTCACACAACAAACTGTCCTTATTTCACAGAGCAAAAATCAGGTTCAGAGAGGCCAGGTAACTTGTCTGGGGTCACACACACACCTGCTATAAGAAGGAACCAAGCCTCACACCAGAGCCTGTGTGACCCCAGAACTCTCGCCTGCCCGCCACTGTAGAAAGCCCTGGAAACTGTTGTTCTGTCCCTGAGTTTTCCCAAGAGCACACGACAGAGACATTTGCTCACTGAGGTACACTCCTCGGGGTCCCGACACCAACTAGAGAAGGCCATCCTGGCCAAGGGGGCCAAGTAGAGAGAAGCCAGCACTTGCTCTCCCCCTGCTCTCGCTGTCCCCTCAGGAGACTGCCAGCCAGTGACGAACAGGACTTCCTGTTCTCCTTCAGAAGACACAGCCCAGGCAAGACTTCCTCGTACTGATGGATTCCCTGGCTGTTTCAGTTCTCTTGCTAGGGAATGCTCTGAACCAAGGTCCTGAGGGCACAGGGGGCCATGAACACATCTCTTCTGCCCACCTACTCTCCCATGCCAGGGCTGGAAGTGTGGACAGAGCCCTTCTCTCACTGAGACATGGTCGCAGGGTACAATGGGAAGGCGGTGTCCCATCCCCAAGGAAGGAAAACTAAGACCCAGAGAAGGGATAGGACTTGCCCAAGGTCACAGAGCAAGAGGTAGCAAAGCCCCTGCCCGGATTCTGCCTATTGCGCACCGCCCTGGGTTCCTGACAGGAATGCTGATATTCTGTGCGGATCCCCATGGGGACAGGCCTCCCCCACACACACCTGGCCCAGCTCTGTGCATGCTGGAGCTTAGACAGCTAGTGAAGAAGATGCCTCCAGGGAGGCAGCCTGGAGTTAACGGTTGGTTCCCCCCAGGGGCAGATACAGTTCCCATCTCCGGAGGACTTGGTTTCCTGGGGGAGCCCTCGTGCTTGTGTCACACTGGCTGGGACACATGGGGACAGATGACCGTTTCGAGATTTTCCTATTTTCCTTCTTAGTTACTAAGCAACCAACTAGAGTCTAAATGCTCAGAAGAGATAAAGCAGACGAAGCACTGAATAGTGCCCAGAGGGGCTTGGCCCCCACAGTGTGGCCTGCTGAGTTCTCAGGGGCTACAAGGGTCATTCTCGAGGGGAGAGTAAGCGAGGCAGATCGGGAGACCAGCGGGCTGTACCACCCACCTGGATACCCCCCAAGAATCCCCAGGATAGCCCAGGTTTGATGGGAAAAAGAGGAAGGATTATATGCTGACGCATTCTGGGGCCTTGGGCCGGGCACTGCCTCTCTTAGGGCCCCTGTTACCCCCTGTATACCATGGGCACCTGTCTCTTGCCAGCTTGGGGGGTACAGTGAAGGCAGTATGAATACACCGGTGGACACTGGGTCACTTCCAGGATGGCCGGGGCTCACAGTGCTGGGCAAGCATCTATCTCAGTCTCTTCCATGCTGCTCTGGAAGGCCAGCAGAGCCCAGGAGGGGTGAGCATAGAAGATGGCCTTTCTGCTGTCCTGTGGGACAGGCCGCCCACCATGAGCAGCCCTCACCCCCATCCTCTGAGGCCCTGCCCTTCCCGAGATATTGAGTGGACTGCTCTGTCACCCACAGCCCTCTTGGCCACCGCCGGCCCATCTGTAACGCTCTCCTCGCACTCTCCCACATAAGTGGGGGCTCCCCTCATTGTCTCTCTGTTCAAAAAGCCTCTCCTTTCTAACAAGCCTGGGAGGCCTTCACCCCACACACCCACACACCCCCACGGTTGGCAGCAGAGAAGAGTAGCAGCACCAGTGACTGGTGCCCTGGACACAGCTCCCGGGGTGCCTGGGGACAGGCTGCAGACCCAGGCAGTGTACTGAAGCCCAGCGGGGAACCCCACCCCCCAGGGGCCAGGGCTAGCAAGGATCCCAGGCTGCGGTTTCTCAACCACTCAGCGCTAGGGTTGCACTTCTGCAATGGGAAATCACACGTACATTTTCCTTCCTAACGGGAAAAAGGAAGAAAGCAGCAAAACTGATGAATGTTCTGACGTATCACATCCCCAAACCGCAGCCTTAAGTGCCAAGCCAGACCTGCCCTGGCAGGGACCCATTTGCTCCTGAAAGCTCATGGCTGCCGAGTCACAGCCAGAGGTGCCCCTGGCGGTAAGGTAGGTGGAGGGGGACTTGACACATAGCCAGGGGAGATGGCCCGGGGCTGGGCCGCGGGGGTAGGGGGGGAGCAGAGCCCCTGCTGGCTACTCACCAGGCACGTATCTCAGTCTCTTTCTGCTGTCTCCTCCCAGAGACGACATTGGTAGGGCTGGGTTCTGCTTCCCCAGAACAACTGGAGGGACCTGGAGATGTGAGGGCCTCTTCCGGGGCTCTGCGCTGCTGGGGGATTTCTGTCGGCTCTGGAGCGCGCAGTGGAGCAGAGAGTAATGTCTCACGAGCAGCGGT